GAGGCATTTCCAAGGTCCCCTCTCAGCCTTCTCTTCTCCAGGCTGAACAAGCCCAGCTCCCTCAGCCTCTCCTCCTAGGAGAGATGCTCCAGTCCCCTCCTCATCCTCGTAGCCCTGTGGTGGGCTCTCTGCAGTAGCTCCTCAGAGCAACGCTTGGAGCAAGTGATTGCTGAACGTGCAGATTACCTTGCTGTAATTACTCTGTCTTTTCAGGTAGCTCATCTCACTTGTAAAGACTTACTATTTTTTTACCAAGTTACGGATGACCTTTTAGACAGATTAACCTTTTTTTGGACCAGCATGTACCTTGTGCAGTCCAGCCTGTCTGCCTGGGAGGCAGAGGTTTGCTGGGGGCTCAAGTTGTGTTGTAGAATGCTTTATGTGAGCTGCTCTCTTCTTGGCCTATTTTTTCTGGCCACGGAATGCCGTCAGCACTCCGATGGGTTTTTATTCTTTTGGAAAATCCTCTTCTCCGTTCGCTGGATGTGCAAGCAAAGATAGCTGGGAGAAAAAGGGTACCGAATCAGTTTGCTTTGGCTTGGCATAAACGAGGAGCTGCAGGTTCACCTAGACACGTTGGGAAGGTGGGATCTGTAACCCTCGGCTTCCGCAGAGACCGGAGGAATGTCCTCCCCTGCGTGTCTTAGCTACGTAAGGAAATCAGTGAACTGAAGCACTGTGCGAGACAACCAGGGGTTGGGAGGTTGTGAAAGGTGCATGTCTGAGTGGATTAAATAACAGATTCTTCCCCTTCCCTCCTTAATGTTTTCTTCTCAAAAGTTCTGTGCAAAGAAACCTGTAATTCACTTGGTTTTTCCTGTCTTTTTAGAGTAAAGGTGCAAGTGCTGGAAGAGAATGGACAGAACAAGAGACACTGCTGCTATTAGAAGTAAGTTCGTGGAGAGTGGGGGCGAGGAAGCCAAACCATGCAGGATATTATTACATGCTTTAAAAATCTACATATAGCTTAATAATTTTTTTCTGAAGTGGATTTAGGTGACAACTGCGTGCTTTTACAGAAACTGGGATAGCAAGGCAGAGTTTATAGGGGGAAGCAATCCCTTGAGACCCAGCTGCTGTAGCTGGAGAAGGGGCATGGTTGAGTATCGCTGCGTACGAGGCTGCCTTTCCGTTGTGGTTATGGCTTTGGAGTTGGTCAAAGGTTACCACTCTCCCTCCAAACCAGACCTGTCATGGCCAGGAGAACGTTGGGATGAAAGAGATGGCAGCAACATCTGCCTGCCGTGTACGTCAAGGCTCAGTTCTGTCTGCACACCAGCAACGGAGTGTGAAAGAGCGTTTGCATAAACTCAGGAACAGATCTGGCAGTGCAGAGGGGTCTTTTCATTAACAGAAGTTACTGAGTATGAAATATATGCCCTACGAGTAACGGTTTACCTGCCACTAAGGTGGATATTTTGAAATTCTGAGGCATTTAAAGGTTCCTGGCTATGCCATGGCACGTTGAGAGAAACTGCTAATTTTTGAAGTTTAAATGATGAAGAAATAGAGAAGTCTGTTTCCTGTCCCTTGCCATCAAGGAAAGCTTTTTATTCGGTGGCTCTTTAATCTCATACATCTACTCATCCTTTCTGCCCCATAGCTGCACTTGATGTATTCTTGAAGCTTTTTCTGGAAGTCTGCAAGAAATACATATGAGATGACTCAAACTATAGTGGTAAAAATGAGGTCAGAGACCTGTTAGCACACTAGAATCCAGTCTTTGTCCCCAGATGGCTCGATCTGATGCTCTCGAAGCACACGGTAATGGTCAGGTCTCTTGAGTTCCAGTCTGGGACGAAAACCATCACGCGAGGTGCCCTGCAGGAACGTGTTCTGGTCTCTCGCCCTCGCATCAGGGCAGCGTTGTTTGCCGTAGCGCTTCGTCGTCGTCGGAATCTCGGTGGCCTGAAATGATGAATGTGCTGCCGCTTCCTATCAAGGAATTATCATCTACCTAGCTTGCTTTTAAAGGAACGTTTTCTTGATGTAGAGGTTGGGTGGTTGGGTTTTTTCCTTTTGTGCAACTCAGGATTCTTGGGTAAGAATTCCAGTTTGGAGTGGGGTGGGGCTGTGTTTGTTTTTACTTGCAGAAAAAGCTTCTACCAGACTGCAACTGTGTGATTGTTCTGGCTTTTGTTGTCTTTACATGTGTCAGTAAACCCATTGAAAAGTGAATTTCTGAAGGAAAAGGAAGGAGAATGGAGCTTGACAGTGCTGCACAATACTCAGCTTCTGTGTGTGGCTGCTCTGCCGAGCTGGGCATGGGGCCACAGCAGCAGCAGGCTTTGATGGAGCCTTCACAGCCACAGAAGGGAGTTCAGCAAATAACCAAACCAGATTTTTATTGGGTTTTTTATTAAATGTTCGGTTGATATGTACTGTTTAGCCTATATTCTTCTCTTGGCACGCGGAGGAGTTTTGCTTATAGGGTGAAAAAAGGGAAGATGTCTTCCATGGCGAGGAACAATGTGACATCTTGATATGCTGGCTTCTTTGCTTACTAGTATTAATATTTAAAATTTATTCTTTTGTATGTTTGTAGCTTGTGATCATACATAGCTAGTAGTAGCCTAATGAAGTAATCCAGATGACATGTTCTTCTTTGTTTATAAAAAACAAAACAAAACACCCTAAGTCTTGAGATTACAATTTATTTAATGTGAGTTTAAATTAATAATGTATTTGTTCTTCATTCTTCATGGATTTAACCTATGAATAAATCAGTAAAGAGTATATCAGTTCAAGCATAAGTAATCCAGCTCTAACGAGCCAGCTCAGTCCAATTAAATCCTCAGGGTAGCTTTGGGCAAATATATATTCAGTGAAGTTCCAAAGAATAAATCTGATCTAAAATAATTATTGTCCTTCCGCCTGTTGAGTGAATAAATTGGGGGGAGGAAATACTGCTTCCCCCCCAGAACCATCTTCCCTGCCACACTGCTGCTCCCTGTCTCCACGGAGCACTATTCCTGCATAGTTAAGTGCATTTTCAGCTATTTATAGTAAGGACAACTATGGCGAGAGCTGGTTCGTCTTGCAGGAGAGTAACAAGCAGTGAAGGAGAACGAGCAAGCCCTGCACGGCCATGAAAAGCAGAGCTGATCTCGTATGCCGGGGTGATTAAAAATGGATAGGCAGTGGCATGCAACTTGCAGCACAGCGAGGAAATTGGGGAAGGTGAAAAGAAGGTTGAAAGTTGAATAAAAATTTCCCCGTGAGTGTGACAGAATCCCAGAATCCCAGCATGGCAGGGGTTGGAAGGGACCTCTATGGGGTCCCCCAGCCCAACCCCCTGCCCAAGCAGGGTCACCCACAGCAGG